CAACTAAATAACAATGCCAATACAACATATCAGAATCTATGGGACACAATGAAAGCAGTCTTACAAGGGAAATTCATAGCAGTGAGTACTCATATATGAAAACAGTGAGCTGAATTACACAACCTGATGCTGAACCTCAAGCTTCTACAAAAGGAAGAGTAAGACAAACCCAAAACCCACAAAAGGGAGGAAATTATAAAGATTAGAGGAGAAATCAATGCAATGGAGACTAAGAGAACAATAGAAAAAAATCAATGAAGCCAAGAGTTGGTTCTTCGAAAGAATAAACAAAATTGACAAACCCCAGCAGCCAACCTTATCAAAAAAAGGGAAAGAAAAGGCCCACATCCATGCAATCATGCAATTAGGAATGAAAAGGATGAAATTACAATGGGCCCAGCAGAAATCCAGAGGATTATCAATATCTACTTTGACAACCTATACACCAATAAGATGGAAAATATAGAAGAAATGAACAGATTCCTAAATACGTATGAATTACCAAAGTTGAATGAAGACCTAAAAATTCCAAATGACCCAATATCAATCAATGAAACTGAAAATGTAATTAAAAACTTACCAACTAAGAAAAGCCCAGGTCCTGATGGCTTCACTGCTACATTCAACAAGACATTTGGAGAGGAACTACTGCCACTACTGTTTAAACTCTTCAACGAAATTGAAAAGGAAGCAATACTCCCAAATTCATTCCTGGAAGCAAGCATCACCTTGATCCCCAAAGCAGAGAAAGACTCAACTGAAAAAGAGACTATAGGCCAATCTCACTAGTGAACACAGATTCAAAAATCTTTAATAAGATACTGGCAAATAGAATGCAGAAGATCATCAAGAAGATTATACACCCTGACCAACTGGGATTTATCCCAGGGATGCAGGGATGGTTCAACATACCAAATGAATAAATGTAATACACTATATTAATAGAATCAAGGACAAAAACCATATTATCATCTCAATAGATGCAGAAAAAGCATCTGACAAAATCCAACATGCATTTATGGTAAAAACCCTACAAAAATTAGCATAAATGGACTCTACCTCAATCTAATAAAAGCCATCTATGAAAAACCAACAGCCAACATCATACTAAATGGTTAAAAACTGAAATCCTTCACACTAAAATCAGGA